CCAAACCACTCTGTGATTGTATGATAAGTAGCTTTCCCCATTCCTGGGTGAAGGTCAATACGGAGGCAAAACAGACAGACCGTTCCTGAGGATGCCCTATTTCTGCAAGATGGGATGGGCCTGTCACCAGCAAAGCAAGGGAAGTTCAGCAAGGAAGAGCAGGTTTGGGGCTGCAATCATAGGAAAGTGGCCCCGAGCTTCCAGAGCTGCCCTGGAAGGGATGAGGACAACATCCACTGTGCTCCCAAGAAAAAAAACAGCTCTTCAAAGACAGAATGTAGGAAAGACCGGGAGGAGGGGGATGTGTGCTGGTGGAGGTGGCTGCAAGCAACACCAGGGATTCGGGTGATGTGGGCACCATGGCCCTACAGGAAGGTGTTGATTTGGCCCCTTGGTTCCCCCTGGGCTTTCTCCCTTAGGGAGAGCTTTATTCTCCCATGGTTATTTTCCCTGGAAAGAAGCACTTGTGACTTACTTCAATCAGGTGCCACTCTGTCTTTGATAAAGAAAACAGCCTCAGTACTTTCGTTGTTCTTTCCTGCACCGTATCTTCATCCCCTAGAAAAAGATCACTCACGCTGCCGTTCATGCCCCCAGCACCATCAGCAGAGGGAACAAACGACCTTGTTGGTCCCTCCCCTTGCAGAGCTGAAGACCCCATTCGCCGCCTCCACCGCTGCATGCGGGCTCACGCGCCGCTGCTGACAGGAAAGCACTAAACGCAGAAAAACTGCAGGAGAACAGGTCCTTTGCGAAATACGGTGCGTGTCCAGGACAGCGTTAACTTTCCAGGGAAGATCCTGGCCTCAGCTGGAGGGAGAAGCCGAAAATGCCGCAGCCTGGCTATGGCAGGCTGGGCCTTGGTGCGCCCTCGGGGCTGGCCCCAGCTTGCCCTGCTTTTGCCTGTCACTTAGATCTCGTCACCTGTTGACGGTCACTAGCACTCCAGCCACACAGGAGGATCTCACCGTCTCTGCCCTCTTCTTTCACCCCAAACTTTAAAACCCAGAGACAGTGCAGGAAATTTCAGCTGCAAAACAAAAGCAACACCCAAACCAGGCTAACTCATTAGAATCCTCAACTACAGAATCAAGAAAATGAAGAAGTCAGGGTCAGACTGCTTGTTTTTGTCACGTCCTGCCTGGATTTTGGTTCATTTATACCTACTTTGGTCTGCGGCACCCCGTACTGCCAGTGCCGCGCATCTCTCTGCTCGGCGACCAGACCCAGCGCTTCAGCTCAAAGGAACAAGCTGCACAGCAGCTTCAGGGTGAAGATCTTCCCAGACACAGCAACTGTCGGTGCTCCATGAAGGTTCCACGTTGATTCGTAAAGGTTTGGAAGCAGTGAAATACAGTTTTTAAGAAAAATAATTTTTAAACACCACAGATCTTTCTAGGAGACAGCGTCATTCCGGGTTTGCTGATGCGCGCACGATGCTCGCCTGAGTTGGCTGCAGGATGGGTGGGTCAGTGGGAATCTCACCGTGCCTTCACGCTGGTTTAGCACGTGCTGGATTACAGCCGCGGCAGGCTTTGTGCAAGGGAGACACCCTTTTCCAAGTGAGCTGGAAGCAGAAGAATGTGTTTTTTCCCTGCGCCTCAGCGGCAGCATCCTGCCTAACACCCATTCTCGCCCAGGCAAACGCCCTCAGTAAGCAGGGCGGACTGGGGACGAGGTGCTCTCAAGCCGAGGGACCCGTTGGGGAGAAGATTTCCAGAAAACCTTGAAGATGCGGAGAGGGTGGTGAGGCACTGGCACAGGTTGCCCAGAGAAGCTGTGGATGCCCCATCCCTGGGAGTGTTCAAGGCCAGGCTGGATGAGGCTTTGAGCAACCTGGTCTAGTGGAAGGTGTCCCTGCCCATGGCAGGGGGGTTGGAACTGGATGGTCTTTAAGGTCCCTTCCAACCTATTCTGTGATTCTATGATTTCAGCACAGAGCCCTGAGATTACAGACGGAGCTGGAGGGGGGTATTATCAGTGTCCCACACAGCGTCTGCACTTCCCGCTCCTTCTCAGTGTTCACAAATAAGCCCTTTGGACAGAAAATTTTTCCATGTGACACACAGGGAACACTTTTTTTTTTTTCTTTACTTCCAAACATGCAGGAAAAAGGCGGGGCTTTAATTTTTTAATATCTACTCTAAACCAAGAAAGGCAACGGCTCAGAGATGTGAAAAAGGACAGGGATCGAGGGATGCAAAAAATGGAAGACTGCCTTTTTGAGGAAGCCACACATTTTTGGAAGAGTTCAGATGTCTTTGATTTAAAAGTGAAAGTTTGACTAGTCCAAAGACACCCCCCTATGCACCTTTAATTCCCTGAGAATTGGGGAGTTAGAATTATGCACTGTTGTGCTTTTCTAAAGAGCGAAAACCCGGACGACACAAACCGTTCCCAAAGAACAAACGTGGAATACTCTCTCTCACAACTACAGGGATGGGGCCAGACCTCGCTGCGGTCACTTCTCCCACAAGCTAGGGTCACCACGGCAAGAACCGGGCTCGATCCCTTATTTTCAGTCTCACAAAATGCAGCCAGCATCTAGATTCCAGGGAGCCCTACCAGGACGCAGAAGCAGGAAGCGCAGGGAAAACGAGCCGTAAGCTACATCATAGAAGAAAGGAACGGCGATGGGTCTAAGCCCAGGGCAAGAGGGGCAGCATCCCTCAGCACCTCCCTGCGCTAACCTGGAACTGAACCTGCCGAAGCACTTCCGTTTCATCCTCCCTCTTCCCGTGCGGAGGACTGGTACCAGGCATCATCTGTCCTCACGAGGCAGGGCTAAAGGAAAAACACAAGGGAAAACCAGCCACTGAAGACGATCCGCTCGCAGTTAGGATGCAGACGTGAGCTCCCTTATGCCTCGTTCCAGCACAGCCGAAAGATCCATCCTCCTGCATCCCTGGGCCCTGCTTTGAGCAACCTGAAAACCAACCTCCTCCTCCTGCAGCTCCCTCGCTGTGTCCAGGGAAGACCTTCCCTGCAGGGTACCTAAATCCCTCACAGAATTCTTCCTCCGAGGTCGCACAGTGTCATTCGCCCTTTTTTTACTGCTGCTGGGTGAAGGCAGAGAGCAGCCCCGAGAATCGTGGGGTGAGTGTCCTCAGGTGTGACGCACGAGGCTGCGATGTCCCCAGTATGCTTTTTCAAAACTAAGGCTGGAAAAAAAACAGCTGGAAAACGCTCCTGTGATCCTTTACACGCTCACGTGCTGCTGAAGAAAGCCGTATCGCAAACGCGTTTGCCAAGGAAGCCGCTCCTGCTGCTCCAGCCGGAGATCTCCAGCTCTAAGCCAGACCTGCCCGTTGCCGCTTCTGCAGTGGGATAACGGACACGCATCCCAGGACCGGGGAAACGCGGAGCCCCTGCAGCGCTTTCTGAGGGCTTGGCATTATTTGATGTCCTAGATATGTTTGAATAGAAGCACAATTATGCCCCCAAAGGGAGCGGGTTTTTTAATGCAACAGACAGAAGGGACACAAGGCAACCAGGCTGCTTTGGTAGAAAAGAGTAGTTTGAAAAACGCACAAAATCCAGAGGACGTTATCGATCAGGTCAGAATAATAAAACAGGCCTGAACCGTCAGTCAGCACACTAAGATTTAAAGAAAAAATTTAAATATATGGCTGCTAGTGGAGCTTCTAAACTCATTTTTCCATTTAGCAAACAAGATCAAGGCAGCAGAATGAAAGCGTTTATGTTTTTAGAAGCATGGGGATCATGACGCTATTACCTAGGTTTTGTTCTTTCTCAGTAAGAAGCTCTTAAAACAACCATCCTTTGTTCCACGGCGCCGTCTTTCAAGTCACCTGGGCGGGACTTGCTGGATGATTGACAGGTTGTCACGAGTCAAAGGAGTTCGTCAGCTGAAAGCTGAAGGAGCCGAAGAGATTAAACTGCTCTGGGAAATGGGGCGGGTACGCGGAGATCTGTATCCTTTATATCCCTGGGATAGAAGGCAGTTGGAAGCTCATTTCCAGCCATGGAGAGAGGGGTGCCTCACCTGACTGACGCCCAGCAGGGACAGCATTAGCTTCCACCATTCCTTCTGGGAACATACTGCGAGCAGCGTTCTGCTAACTCATACCCAGTCGGAGACCACAGCCCCTGCGTGTCAGCCAGTGACAGGCTACGCCGCTTCGTAACCTTCAAAAGAAGCTCTTGCGTGTTTTTTATAGTATTTGATAGCAGCTTTTTATTGGTTACAAAACCTAAGCCCATATACAAAATTAGGAACACATTTAGATGCCTCTTTGAAAGAACGTTTTAGTCTATTTTAACTGATAGTTTAAAAAAATAATAAAAACAATGCAATTTTAAACACTGTTCTGAAAACGTAAAAGTGCAGCAATATACTTTGTTTTCCTTTATTAACTCTGAAATGGTGCAATCCCAATCGAAAGCTGGTAAGGTCACAACAGAAATAACGGAGCAAACGCTCTGTCCTGCCGCACCCAGTCCCCCGACGCCCGCTTGTAGTGCGCCGAGTGCAAGGAAAGGATCGAATCTTCACAGTCGGGGGAAACACCTGTTTCAGTCCCAATTTGGCTGTCAACTCCGGGATAAACAGCGCAGGCCGAACGGGGTATCCGTCGGTCTCTGCGGCATATGGGGAGCCCAAATGGAATTGGAAGGGGGAGGGGGGAGTATTTGTTCACGATACCGTCGGCTGGAACTCTACAAGAACTTTGTGACCTTACCTAACTTTGACTTCTTCTTGTTTAGTTGGTTTGTTTTAGCGAACACCACACGGTTTCAAGATTTTTAGACTATAGTGTGTGAAGAGGATGCAGTTACCATATGAAGCTTCAACTCAACTTTTGGGAAAAGAAAAAAGGCACAATGAACTTCAACTCAATTTTATGTGCACGAGAGTTGAAAAATCCGAGCCACCTTAAAGAGAAATTGATTCTAAAATTTATAAAACCTATAAATAATCAGAGGCCAAACCACTATATTAAAACAGATTATCTAGCAAGTAAAAATCTTGCAGTTTAAACACACGCTTGTATCCCGCTGAGATACAAGACAACTCACTCTTTAAAGTGGCTCCACCTTGGCAGATATCTATTTAATGAATGCACACCTGCTATGCGTTGTTCATCAGTGGGAAAACAGCTGATCCACAAAGCTCTGATGGCATCTGTCCTTATCTTCATCACAGTAAATACAACCCACATCCAAGAACTAAATTAGTTTAGATTTTTCTATCCCTTCACATCAATGCATTGGGAAATTACACCCAGTAAACAACAGCAACAAAACCAGTTTGTGTGATAGCTTACAGAATTCCAACGTTACCGACCTTCACCCCGGCGATACTGAAATCCCTTGGACTGGGTCGGAGGATTTTTCCGAAAGCGATGACCTCACTATACCTTCCGTAGAGTTATTTCATGTGCGCTGCACATCAGGTTTACGCTGCGTAACGGCAGCTTCCACACAGCCTCACACATCAACCAGTTTGCATCTTGGGTTTGTTTTAATCACGTCAATAAGATTCTGCGACTCGTTTCCGAATTACTCTTCCCATACTCCAAGAATGAAGCTTTTGCGACGCTTCTAAGTAGTTGCTGGTTTGTTGCCAACCACATCATCATAAGCACTGGTTACTAAGTAAAAAATAGTTTAAGACTAAATTACAGTAAACATGAAAGCTCCACAGTTGAAACCCAATATAAATCAACCATATCCAATTATCAATTTAAAACAAAAATAGATTGACCACTGAAAGTTGAAAGCAAGATTCTTTTTAACTAATACATTTGGTTTTGGGACCAATTTTTTTTCTTCTCTACAGTCTGGGACTCTTGCTTTCAGCTTAAACAGAAGTTCAAGTCCATAACAGGTTGTAGCTCAGGTAAAATACCATGCACAGCATTGGATTACTTCAAAACAGCAGGAACACACAGGCTGAAGTGAGTGGTCAAATCGGGCTCGCTGTTCTCAAAAATTAGGTCTAATGGCAAAAGCTTTACCAGTCCAAATCTACAGTTCATTCTCCAACCCTGGTTTCTGAGGCAGTTAATGAACACACATCAATTACCGATAGCTGAAGTAGGTTTGTCGTTTAAGTGTTTTAATCAATTGCCAAGTGTTTTTGCTTTTGTTTTGTTGTTGGTTTGTTTCTTTTTTTAAAGTTACTTTTCATTTCAGTTTCACCCATGAAATTCATTTGGCTTGCGTTTCTGAATCAATTCTTCCATGTACAGCGTATGAAAACATGTTTGTGGAGGACGATGATGGAGGCCCAGAGCAAACTGGGCTCCCGTGAAGTCTTCCAAAACGTACGCATCATACCCAAGTGTCTCGATCCACAGCGCACCGTTTTTCCGCAGAAGCTACTTTTCCTTGGTGGAAAGCCAGTGCGCCACCACTGTGGAATATTCTTAAGGAAACTGCAGATTGCGGTTGTCAGCATGTGGCACCAGGAAGAAGGCCAAAAACAAAACAAAACAAAACAAAAAAAGAAGGTAGTTGGGACTGTTAAAGAGAGTTCTGAAACAGTTGAAGAGATCATGCATATGCACTGACAGTCCACGTGACAGTGACGTTTGGCAACTGCAAAGTGACCGATACATGGCTTGCTTTAGAAGCATCAAAACGAAGAGGCGTGTGTGTCTTGGAGCCTTTTGTTTTCTTCCCTTGGTAGCCATCCCGTGGTGCTTCGTACTGGTGTGGGACAGAGAAGCTGCACTTTTCTTTTCGACTTAAAAATTAAATTCTTTTGTTTGACGGTTGGCCGTGGGGTCGAAGTTGTAAGTACCTCCTTGAGTGGCTTCGGGAATGAGACTGGGATCTTCATCGATCTATGGGATACAACACAAGTACGTGAGAGGCCGATTCCCCACACAGTTTGGGGCCCATCAAAGAGATTCACAAATGTTCATATTTTCTTCTTTTAAAAACATTAACTGCAATTAAATTACATCCGTTTTTCCAATCCAACGCATCAAACGCATTTGGAAAGAGCAATGCGTCCACTCTGCTCCAACACCACGAGGGAAACTGAAACGGTCAGAGGCTGGGCTGCTGCCTTGGTCAAAGCAGCTGCTATTTTAGTGGTGCATTTTAATTTTCAATGCCAATTTTTAGTACTTTTGGAGTCGGCTAATCACTAGTTGCGAGTTCCAGAATGAGTTTTGTGCTGTCACCCGTTTTCCTTCAACATGAAAATAGTTTTTATGGGCAGCTGATAGAAATACTGACATAAAGCTTAAAAGAGTGCTCGGTATCTCCTATCAGAACCTGAAGGATTTAGGGTTACTCATTTCAGAGCAGTTTTATACAGCCCCTATAAGTGCAATCTCATGGTTTCTTAAACCCAAAGTACTTCGTGACTCCATGGATACAGAACAGAAGGAAAGGTATCAGCATCCAACTTCACCCAACTTCCTCAGAGCTGTCAGAACGTAGGTATTTACTGGCTCTAGTAACAACCACCAACGCGACCAGTACCGTCAGCGCGCGCGACCGCAAACCCTACCCGTCGTCCTCCTCCGGATCAGCGGCCGCATCTGCTCGCGGAGCACACCGCCTCGGCCAACCAGGCAGCGGGGACCGCCTGTCGTTCTGAGGCAGTTTAAGAGCCCCTGCATGGGGGGGTGTGTGTGTCTGAACAGCTTTCTGAGACCTGGCCTTGGAGTAGCGCGGGCGTCAGAACTGACTCACCTAAAACCCTTGTTTCTCTTTACTTTGGGTGACAGTACCCAAATTGGAGGGAATGATTACGGCCTTGGGTGACAGCAGCCACGCTCAGGAGGAAGAGTGGGGCACGGCGTGCCCACACGGAGAGTGAATCTGGTTTCAGAATGCTTTGCAAAACCTCCGAGTTGACTTTTTTTTTTGCCTTCTGCAGGGGCACCGCGCAGTAACGTCACCCGAGCTCGCGTGCCTTCCACACCACAAACCAAAGCCAGGGAGCCGTTAGCGCTGGTCCCAGAGTACATAGAATCATAGAACCATAGAATGGTTTGGGTTGGAAGGGACCTTAAAGACCATCTAGTTCCAACCCCCCTGCCATGGGCAGGGACACCTTCCACTAGACCAGGTTGCTCAAAGCCTCATCCAGCCTGGCCTTGAACACTTCCAGGGATGGGGCATCCACAGCTTCTCTGGGCAACCTGTTCCAGTGCCTTCACAGGGCTCAGCAGATGGGATTCGTGAGGAAGGAGAATTCGCCAGCAACATCTCATCAGAATACAGAAGATCCTGAAGTGACAGAAGGCAGGAATACTCCTGGGCAGCCAATCCTCACACTGCCAAGCAGGCTAATGGAACCAGCCCCTGTCTCCCTAGGGCAGTCTGCATTTCTTTTTCCTGGGTTGGTTTTTTTGCACCAGTCCTCAGGCGACAAGAGTTACCTCCCTCCTTACAGTAACTGCCTGAAAATTTGTCTGGTTTTACCTTTCAACTCCTACCTCCCAAACATGGAACTTCTACAGTTTCGAGTTGCAGAGGCCCCAGAAAAGATGGTAACGGTATAAATGAACCTGAAGTCAAGTTTTGCTCCTCAGTAAAGGAGATGAATTCCACAGATCAGGCACAGATTAAATTTCATTGGTGCATGTAAAAAGTAAACGCCCAGAAAGGAGTACTAACCCCAAAAGGGTTATTTTTCCACCTGCAACAACCAGACTGTGCTCTTTGGTCAGCTACAGAAGTCCCAGAGTCATTACGGAGACTGTTAGCCATTGCTCGCAGAATCCTGACAAGCACAGGGAACTTGTCACATGACTTCCGGTGACCAACTCTGCAATCATAGGATGGACCCAAGAACTGAAAATTAACAACTCTGAAAGTCAGAGCTGGTAGGGGGAGGATTCAGTTTAAGGGAAGAACTGAAGACACGGCTCTGCTAGGCTGCAGAACTACAGGCACCGGGATGGTCTACAGACACCAATTCCTTAGGCAAAGCCAGAGGAGTCATCTCGACGTTGCTAACGAAAATGCTTGGTGTTGAGAAACTCTTCAAAGACTTTCAACTAAGGGGAACTGTACTGAAAAAGGAGCAGGAAAACTGAATTCCCAGATAACCTGTTTGTGACAACTGGAACGGAGGAGCAACGACGACGTACCTACTAAGCTAACCGCACGGCACATGCACTCTTCAGGCTTGAGCATACTTACGTCATCACCAGAGAAATACTGATCTATGATTTCAAAGGCTAGTTTATAAATGTCTTCGTTCTCATGCTGCTGCAAGGCCTCGATTTTCTCTAACCCTGGATAAAAGAAAACAGAGAAGAGCTTTGTAAGTTCACACTGAATTACTATTTTGAAAAAAACTGAGCTAAGATAAATAACGAATGAAAACTACTAGAAAAGATGCAGCTCACTTTGCAAATACTGTCTAACACGAGCTATCTTAGGCTCAGACAGAAAAATAAAGCAGTTTGTGAACCTTTGAGTACCACATTTTATAAAGAGGGAATAACAGAACCTTCTCTCTTTGTAGCCAAGAGTACATACACAGTACGTACTGCACACACAAGCTACTTCGGTTGTGGTTCCAGTTGACAGGAACACCAGTTTTGTGTCTTTACAAAAGAAGCCTGCGTACACCCAGGCTCAAGAAAAGGGACAAAAGAGGCCTGTGTGAACTCAGTCTTAAGATAAGAAAGAATATCGAAACTACATGGTCCCTTGAATACGTAAATTACTTGAATATCTGGAATATCTAAACAACATTATCCCCTGAATGTGTTAAATGTATTAACTACCTGAATATCTGGAATATTTAAATTACATGATCCCTTGAATATGTTAAACCAACTGAATATCTGGATATCTAAATAACATGAATATCTTGGTTATGTCAAAAGAAACATTTTGTCTTGAAAGTCTCAGGCGGATGGGGCAGTCTGTACACTCAGAGTACCTCAGCCAATGGGGAAATGAGGAGGGTCTCTTGCAGTCGGGAAAAGTAGGATAAAAGGGGGCTGCATCCCTCTGTAGGTTGAGAGACCCCACAGGAACATGCCCCGTGGCTCTCCCTTTCGAATAAAGTTTTATTATTATTTTTTTACAGGACTCCTCTGTCTCCTCTGTGAACGCTGACTCCTGGTAGCGTGATTTTCCGTACACAGTCATTGTGCTTTCTGTATATCACCAAAAAGGAAGCGGCTTCATTTGCCTGTTGCATACAAGTTTAAAACAACAAGGCGACAAAGTCTCACGCCAAGAGCAGCTTAAAAATTTAATTCCATTTTTAAACTGGATATGGCTCAATACACGAGGGAAAAATGCCCCGTGTAGTGAGTTCTTAAACACCCCTTCACTGCCATCTTACTGCAATACGTTAATTAGCATGTGTTAAAACTTGGAATTGCAATATCCAAAAGCCTGACTCCTCATCCTGCTTTGGTCTGTAATGAAATAATGATCCTAAACAACTGCTTCCAAGGCAATAAACTGAAGCCAGAATTGTGTTTTAGCATAGAAGGAAGTGTGTGCAATAATTGCATGAAAAGAAGCACAATTCTCATTTAAACCTAGAAAAATACCTAAGCAACAGAAAGGTCCTTCAACGATTGCCTCCAACATGAGGCCAGGCTGGACGAGGCCAGGCATCATGAGGCTTTGAGCAACCTGGTCTAGTGGAAGGTGTCCCTGCCCATGGCAGGGGGGTTGGAACTAGATGGGCTTTAAGGTCCTTTTCTACCTAAACCATTCTGTGATTCTATGACAATCCCTAAACTGAAGTAGACAGGAAAAAAATACGCCGTTTCTCTCATGACAAAAGTCCCACTTGCTTATTCAAATAGCCCACGGTAAAAAAAAAATCGGCTGCAGCAAACCTCAACAGCAGCAAGGGGAAGGACACATTTTGTCTTCTTTCACTCCAGCAAATTTAAATTTTTGAAAGCCTAATAAGCACTTACCTCCACACTCTTCTATAATCTCAGCTATTGTGCTAGCCTCATCACCAGCCATTATCAGGATGTTTTTCAGGCCATCCAGCACCACCTGTACCACTTGAGAATCCTTTACTGAGAGTAGATTGCAGAAGGGTGGGATTACGTTTTGCTGTACAAGGTATTCAACCTAAACAACGAAAACCACGATCAGCACTCTGCTTAGAAATGGCTGCGTGTGCAACGTTTCAGCGACAATGTGAAATCCCTCATTTCATACACGTACCTGATCTTTTCTCCCGCTTATTGTCAAATTACTAATTGCCCAAGCAGCTTCCTTTTGTGTCCCAAAGTCCCCCTGAAAAAAATAAAAATTAATAGCTCATTCAAATCCGCATGGAAACATCTGTCAAGCTCGTTATTAAAAATCACGGGCTCCTCGTGTCAAGATTTATAAAAAGAGGATGACAACTTGCCTAGCTGACAGTTTGACTGACCTTAGCCAGCTGGTGTATGATCATGGGGATTAGCCCAGCATCTATTACAGCCTGAACTTGTTGCTGGTTTCCTGCTGTGATATTGGAAAGGAACCATACTGCTTCCTACGAATGGACGAAAAAAAAAAAAAAAAGAAGAAACTCTTTTAAAAACTAGTCAACAGATTAAAAAAAAAAAAATAAAACCAACCAAACTAAACCACCCCCAAACCTAAAATCGTGCCATGACCGATCACTAAACAGAACCTCCAGGTTTCCTCCCCAGTACCCTTCTGGCACACACACACCTTTACTGCACCATGAAATCCAAACATGCGGAGGATCCATGTAGAATTGACCCGATTAATTCACAGGGCCAGTTTATGAGTTGCACAAGGAGTGGCTCCACACCTCGAGAGCAATACTGACTTAACCCTGACATCCACTTTGCTGGAATCACAACCACGTTTTAAACTTTCAATCAGTTTTGCACGGAAAATAGGAAGAGTGGTAAAACCTCGTATAAAAACAGGATTTATGCAGTAATCCTCAGTAGCAGCTCCTGTGCTGATAACAAGGGGGACCAACTCCATCTCCTGTTTTCTCCCTGAAACCTGAAGAGGAGCTCAGAAAGCTCCTTCAAGTATCAGACAGGACTCTCAGTCCTGCAATTCTACCCAGCAGTTACCCCCTTCAGCTTCAACAGAGCTAACATCTACCCAAAAGCAGTTACAAATTCCCGGTTACAACGTGGGATACTTGTCCAGGCATTCCAGAACATCTTAAAAAGGCTCAGATCTCAAGCAAAAGACAGGCAGATGTGGCAAGCAGCCAATTATGAAGTACTGCAGGGAAAAAACATAATGGGTTCCATTTTTTAGGGATGTGTATCTTGCTCTTATTTGCATTTGCCCCTCACAACGTACACTTAGAACAAAAAGTAATTCTAGACTCCCCTTATATAAAAATAATCCCTTTCCTGGCATTCAAAGAGGGCTCTTCATTGTTCTTTTGTGAGAGCTGGAAGGGCAGGCAGAAACAAATCACAGCAGTTTGAACTGTCAGAGATAACTCCTTCAGAGCTCTTGACAGTTGGCAAGGCCCGAAGAAACAGAGATTCCTCACAAATAGATTTCTCCTTGATGGTACACTAAGTGGAGGAATCACGTAAGCTAAACACAAAAGCCTCCTCCTCAGCCAGCCCCTTCTTGCAGAGGCAGACAGCACAAGGATGGGAAAAAGAGGAGGTGAATAACATAAAACAGCTCTGGGAGAGTGGGCACTTATCACTTTCTCTCATTCAACTCTCCCTATTCCACCTAGTCCTTGCAGCAGCTACATTGGAACTGGATGATCTTTTAAGGTCCCTTCCAACCCAAACCATTCTGTGATTCTATGACATTACCTCTGCTGAAAGGCAGGAGAGGAAACGCAGGGACAGCTTTCAGAACAGGGCAGTGGCAATCCCTACGGCCTTGAAGGTGAAGATGGCCGAGAGAACAAACTGTACTACGAAAAGGTGGAGTGGAAAAACGGAATCGAACTTACTCAACGCACTACATTCAACCAAACGTAACACTCCTGAGTTATGAAAAGCCGCAATGCAAGTTCATCGGTTACTCGCTTTGCAGAGTGAAAAACAGGACCATGCTCCAAAGCAAAAACCATCAGCCCTCCCCAAAAGCACTAAACACCAAGGCCTGGATCCTCATGCTGGTTTGGCTTTAGCCCTAACGAAACACCAGCCCCAATGGCCACGTCTTTACGCAAAACTGCTCACAATGCCAGAAATAACCGCTGTAAGAAATTCTTCTGTAGTACACTACAGACTAGTGTTTTCTTTCTTAAACAAGACCATTAAGTTAGGAAGAAAAGAAACCATACCTTATTTATCTTCTCTTTTGGATGCGTCAGGAGATTTGGGAAATAAGACAAAACATCACAATTGAGAACAACTTGTGTCTGTTCATCAGTACCAGTTACTATGTTGCCTACTGCTCTCAGTGCTGCTGTCTGAATATCCGAATGGGAAGGAAAAGAAATTGCACGTTAAAGACATCGCTGTTACTTATGCTAAAACAAAGATCATTTTAAGACGTCTCCGTCTAAAAACACTTCGCAAAATACAATTTAGCCCTTCATCCTCTGAGCTGCATCCTGAGAATGGGTACTGTTCCATCAAAACAGAAACACACAGTGCAGCATTTAACCGCACAGCCACGACGCAGCTCAACTCCAAAAGTGTAAGGATTAGAAATTAAAAGAGTATGAAAACAACAGAAGAATTAATTCATCACGCATCCGATCTGAGTTACCGCTACTGGGTTACTGAATTAACTGTTTCCAGGCTCTGCCTATGTCTGCCAAGGTTGCCCACTTCCCCATTCAACTCTCCACTACAGAGCTGAAAACCACACATCTACTTCTCTTCTTACTGACTCCCAGCTGACTTCCAGAAATGGACTTTATACCCTTATGTGTTGGTCAGTAAATGCTTTACAAGTGATAGAACACTGGAGAGACTCCTTCTCATCGGCTGAGCTGGTCTGACAGACGTCAAGACAGCCAGGTCTCATCCGAGGTACCAACTAAACGAACATGACGGATGCACAGACACCTAACAGTTGGTTTATAAAAATCAAGCACATTTAACTAACTTTTTGGCTTTGAAATTCCTCAAACAAGCTAAGTTAACCTATCTTTTTGTAGCTAATTAGTAATTAACTTTAGTAAAAGGACTCAGCAAACATTTTAACATTCAAAAGGTCCCAAAATATTGATTTCCATGAGCTGCTCAGACAGAATATGCAGAACCATGTATGCAGCAACAAGAGCCTGTAACTTGAATTCTGGAAAACGTACGATCTGTTGTCATTAGATATTTGAGGACTACAAGAGGAAGGCACCTCTGGTAATCACACGATGGAAGTCAACGTTTAACCTGTTGCTTTGCTTAAAACAATACTGGAACGGTTTTGTTTCAGTTTCCTTTCATTTTAGTAACCTTTTTCCCCAGCGTAGGTACCTTTTTTCTTCAGTTTTACCTGCAACAAGTGTACCTATACAGATGCTCATCTCACGACTCTGCTAATAAATACCCTAAGGCACGTTTTGTAGAGAACAGCTTACAGAGGACTATTCAGCAGCAACTGAACCAGACTTACTTGAACTTTAACCTCCTGATGACTCAGAAGGGGAACTAGAAAAGGTACAACTCCTGAATCAATCACCATTTGTATCTGTTCGTTTCCACCGTCCGTTAAGTAGGACAAAGCCCAAACAGTGTCCACAAGAATCTATGGATTGGAAAGAACATGGTTACACAATGAACATTAAAACCCATGGAATTGGGGTCTTAATTTAGTGATCAACATTCCACATGTCTGGAGGGAGGGCAGGGAAGAGCATGCAACTTAGTTACAGGAAAAACTCAAACATTATGATGACACCTATTTCGTAAAATGTTAGATTGTTACATACAACTACGGAAGTGGAGCCATTTGTTCCATAATAATAATTTCTATATGTCCTCCCTCAAAATTAAATACCACATTTTGGTGCAAAAAGGGACAGCATACAGCATCTCACAGAGGTAAACTGTTGGGCTGGATTTGCATTTCAAACATCGCCAACCAGCTAAGTCCTTGCAGTAGTAACCTTCTGAAGAAAACACCGGCCCAGCCTCCAAGCACTGCTGAAACTCGTTAGCTGAGCTACCTTTTCATTACAGACTACCCACCTCCCCTCAGTCTCCAATCTGTGCATCTACACCTTAGTGTTTCTGATCCACAGCAGAGTTCTGAAGTGAAACTGTGCTGGATGTGTGCCGCCTTCTGCCTTCATATACAGATAACAGACACAGAGAGTTGGGCTTGTTCAGCCTGGAGAAGAGAAGGCTCTGGGAGGACCTTATTGCAGCCTTCCAGTACCTGAAGGGGCTACAAGGAAGCTGGGGGGGACTTTTTACAAGGGCCTGTAGTGACAGGACAAGGGGTAATGGGTTTAAATTGAAAGCAGGAGGTTTAGATTAGATATCAGGAAGAAGTTCTTCCTGGAGAGGGTGGTGAGGCACTGGCACAGGTTGCCCAGAGAAGCTGTGGATGCCCCATCCCTGGAAGTGTTCAAGGCCAGGCTGGATGAGGCTTTGAGCAACTTGGTCTAGTGGAAGGTGTCCCTGCCCATGGCAGGGGGGTTGGAACTGGATGGGCTTTAAGGTCCCTTCAAGCCCAAACCATTCTGTGATTCTATGACCAAATTCCACAGCAAAGGAAAGGAGTTCTTACACCAGCTAAAGGACTAGCAACTATTGTAAGGTGGCAACTGCTCTCGCAAAGCACAAACCCACGGAGAAATAACTATCATGCAGGATGATCTCAGTATCTTAAAGAAAACAAAGACTAAGTCACTGACAACTTGATAATGATGATTCAAGAGGCCTCAAAAAAAGAAAGGTACAAAAAGTTACAGTCACTGAAAGGTAGTATCTGAAGCAGTAACAAAGCCAGTAGAAAGAGATATCCCATCACGTAAGAGATGATGTTAGAAACTGAGGACATCATCTGTTGAGTTAGCTAGATCTACTCTACTTTTAAAACAGATTTAAGATTTCCAGCTATGAAGACACCTAAATACTACGGTTGTGAATCACAGGAAGGACTTTAAAGTCCTCACCCACAGGCTGCTCCCACCCAGCTCTAAGGCCCAGAGAGACCAGTTTAATGCCGCCTCGACACAGCCCGCTGCTGCCCTCACCTGCTGATGCCACAGGGACAGCAGAATGTGCTGCAGTGGAGCCAGTATCGCAGCAGAAGCAGTGAGAGATGGTGCCTCACCAGTTTGCTGCCCCACAGCCCTGTTGGTGACGAGAGCAGCAGCCGGCAGAAGCGCTCACAGGACTGTTGGCTGACCTACCTGCGTCACTGACTCATCTCCAAAGATAGGTTTGCTGCTCCAGTACAGAGAGGCTGGGACCAGACTGGTACCTCCAAACTAGCACCTGACTCTCAGGATCAAAAAGACGGGCACCCTAATTGAGATCAGTCAAAACCTGGCATCACATAGTCTCACAATCACTGCCTGCAAAAGCTTTCAAATTTGGCAGGGGAAAAAAAGCCTGTAGGTAGAAGTATGTTTGGGTTTGCTATGAATTTCCATTCAGGTTTGTCCAAATTATGAATTGGAATGTCACCATGTGCTGGCTCCCACTCACATTACACTGGGAAAACCCTGGCAAGATCCCAAATTAAACTGTTTGCAAATATTTTTGTGGAGCCAGGCCCACTGCACCATCAAAAGAACAGCAGAAACACCACTATCACCGTACCAAAGCGACTCGACCTTATGCTCTTTCCCCAGACCCACCACAAGGGTTAAACTCCTGCTTCCCTAAATTGAAGGATGGCTATGAGGGAGCAAGAGTCAAAGACATTACAAAGTCCTGAAAGGAGGAGAGCAGCTCAGTATTCCTTAGTGACACGGATCTTTGTTCCCAAAGTCCCAATATACAACACCAGGAGATCAGTCCACCCCTCTAGGACTTTAGTCAGAAAATATATGTAAACCCATGGACCAGGAATGTGGGAACTACCGAAGGTTTAGTATTAAAAACCTGAAGAAACGTTGTCAAAGGTGCCACAAAACAACAGTTTACTGTTGTTTGTTTAAGTATATTTTCGTATGGTTTCCTTGGTTAAACGGGTTGCAAAGCCAGGCACCAACAGGTTACAAAATCAGATTTACCCATACGATCACAACGTTTGATTGGACTGATATACAGAATTATAAGTATTCTTTTTCTACACAGGCATTATATACCATCTATGCAAAATTATAAATTGGGGCAGAATTAAAGCGAAGCTGATGGTAAAACTGGCACTTTAAATTTCTAGCGCTCAACTCCACAAGTTAGAATTTTTTTTAATGTAGTTTAAAGGATTAAAAGAAAGACTTTTGGGCAAGATCTCTCAGAAATGGAGTCTACACTCTCTTTCTCATGCTCCGAATGCCTACAGTTATACTAGGCACCATATTTAATTATGCATTTACGACTTAATCATACCTAAATTAACACACAAAACCAAGTTTGCCAAGTAAGCACAACCTCGCAGCGTTTTCTCTCTAGAGAAAAGAAAGAATCTAAGTATCTAAAACTTCAGAAATTACTTACGTTTATATCTGTATGGTAAATGAGAACACACAATGCTGGCAAGATCTGAAAAGAAGTTCATCGGTCATTACAGGAGAATGAAATTGGCTGTACAATCGCGAGCCCAAGCACTGCAGTCACAAAGCTTTGCTCGAGACCGCTTTAGCGTACTGCATTCACACACTTCCCAGCAGCTGGCCATTCCCCCAAAGTAGGTATAAAAACATACGTATAGTATTTAAAAATCGTAGAAATACAAGACAACACTTTATTTCAAAGGCACAGAGGGAAGACTGTTTTGAGGGAAAACAAGCCAACAGAGTCGAGACATCACCCTGCTATTTTGAAAGCTTTGTTACCACACAATATAATAAAAAACGTTGGCCTGATGATAAAAAATCCCTCTTGGATTAAAGGGAAAATTTATTTTTGTATTCACTTATGGAGAAGATCTAAAACCGAGCCATGATAAGACTGCTTAGGCCAGGGGAGGTTATTTGGTAAAGTATTACTTGAAAAATTTTCCACGTTCTCTGCTTCATTTTTAACCTTTCATTACATTTTAGGTGCTAACGATATTATACTTCACATGGCTTCAGTAACCACAGCTACACTTTGGAATTTGTCCTCAAATGAAGACCTTCACATACAACTGTAGTTCTTAGCCAAACAACATGACTTTACTGGCTGTGCCTACTCTAAAGCAAACCGCATTTGCTCCGTTCTCCGGTGTAAAAGGATTTTCAGATGCCTCTCTCCTCAAGTGGGGAGTTGCCACTGACTGCATGGTCACAGCTAGCTGAAATACACACTGCACTACATCCACTAGTTTACTTACATTTCCTCTTACTGAAAATAATGACATGAGTGCTTCTGTAGACAGAATCACGTTCGTTGCCTTTTTTTGATAAAAACATGGAACGCTGAGCATGTGAACACTTTCTAGTGTGTTAATTTTTTGCTGTGTCCATTTTAATATATGGCTCAGCAGTCTTTAGTCTTGCTCAGTCTCCGATGTTACCAATACCTCCATTACAGTCTTAGCTAGAAGCATCAAATTGGTCAAATGACTTTTTTTAACAACCGATAAGTGGCACAAGACAGTGGCATAATCATGCATACATTCATAGTATGACAATGTCAAACATTTGGCCTCTAGCCCAGAGTACAAAAACATTATCTGACTCTTAATTCTTTATTTACCTCCTGAACTGTCTCCATAGGCGGTGGGGGGTCCTTATTCCTGCAGAGATTTACAATGACCCATGTGACGTTCCGAAGGAAGGTGATGGGAATGGAGGGATTGATGAAGGACAGAAGAGGTTTGACAACTCCCAGTGATATGACATAATCTCTACACTGAGGACCATCACCTACAGAAATGAAAATTGTTGTAAAAGAAATCACATTAAAAATGGAAAATCCTGAAATGTATGCAATGACATGTCGGGATACTGAAATTCTATGTTTCCTCACCAACAGTCTGCTACTAACAGTTAGTGTTCAATTAAATACACATACGTATGCATATTTTATGAGAGAAAATTTATCCTGTAAATATTTTGTGCAGCGAGTGATACTATCCTTCAGAAAAAAATAGGATGTACTTATGCAATTCTGGCCACATGAAAAATTATATCAAATCACAGAATTTAGAGGAAACATAGTCTCATATGATAATGCCAATGTTCAAAAAGTCAAATTCTAAAATGAAACGCTCCCTGAATTCAAATCATTATAATAACAACACGAGTTACCTATAATATTTCCGAGAGCCCAGACAGCTTGCTCACAAACATTCTGGTGCGGCGAATGAAGTAGTCTCAAGAAGAGGGGTACTGCATCTACAGAACACAAAATTTGATTTTACTGGAACGTGGTATATGCACAACACTTTCACTGGTTAATACAAAACACTTAGGCTACCATGTGTTACAGGAAAAGACACGTTTCTGTTACAAAGAGCATACAAAACCTCACTTAATCATAGCTATACATATGTAAAACATACCTATGTAGAGAGGGGAAAAACAGATGAGAACAAGCAACTACTAAACAACGCTCCCCATATTTAAACATTTCCCCATATTCCTCGAAGTCATACACAAGAGCCTCAAGTGTGTAGGTGCCAGGTTTAGCGTCCTGGCAATTCCCAGCTGCCCAAGATCACAATACACACTTGGCAGAACGACATGCTTACTCGTGCAAACGTGCTTCCCATCTTGACTTGAAGAAAATAGCTCCCTACCAAGAGGTGGCTATAGTTAGTTTCCATACGCGGGGAAGATGTACATCCATCTGCCAGTCCTAAGACAGGTTTTAATTTGCTCTTATATGACGCAGGCAACATATCAGATTAAAGAAGGGGTACTGCTTTTAGGTATCAGTCTCTGCTCAATTATATAAGTTTAACAGAGCTAAGAAACCATCCCTCTACTACTCCCATGCATTACTTCCCTTTGCAGAACCCATATTGGTTGAAAAACAGCAATTCTTGCAGCAATTTTTAAAAATCTGTATATGATTATATTCGTCCTATAGTCTCTCTGAGCAAATAGATCCATACACTGTTGAAGGAAAGAGTATTTCTTCTTGTAGAGATAACTACAAAAATAGCTTAAGAAAACTTTAAAAACTGCAACACAATGTGTGAGCAACTGTGAATCAATATACTGCTGATAATTTCACATGTGATAATGAGCCAAAACCCCCTGATGTATTTTCCTGAAAGATACAGTGATGAAAAATAAAGACGATGTAAAATTCCTTCCTCACCCCAGATGAGTAATTCAGCAGCTGCCTACAACTGCCAGGTTAGGAGGGACAGCAACACAGTGCTACTTAAGAACGCTGTTCTTGTAACAACCACCCCACTTCCATTAGCTCGAGTGGAATATTCCAGCTTCCTTCTCAGTGATTACTGAGATTATCCTCCAGCCACGTGTGTATTCAACATATTTCAGAGGGGACGGTCAAGTATGTCATTTACACTGCACTGCAACCCTGGTATGCTTTCAGAAGCACCCATGAAATGATTTCCTATCAGCACTCAGGCAGGACAGTCCGAGGAGGCGCAAGTTGCAGGTTACCTGATCTATTGCTCTCAAAAAAATTAATTACTTCTGCTCCCAGCTGGCTCCTGCCAAGAGCTGGTGTGCGTGTGTAGGAGTAGTCCTCTTCTGCTGGGCCGTCTAACTGCCATCTGTCCACCTTGACTGCGGGACACCTTTTATATTTAGGCCGCACCAGGGCCCATCTATCATGCAAGGGCCTACCGCTTTCTTTCCTCAAACCATCCCTTATCTAAAGGCAGCAGAGTTGGGAGCCTCCTGTCTCCCAGTCACCTCCCAGCCAAAGCAACACAACTTTTAGACTAAACTTCTTCCATTTCCTCTTCAGGAGTAAAGCTTGGAAAATACTTTTTGCTTCTTTAAAGTCCTTTTATCACATTTCCTTCTTTTCAAGCATTATCTAAACAGATTTTGGGAGAGACATAACCCAGCCTGGACCTCTAGTCATTGCTCAGGTAGCAGCTATGCTTTTAGCTGCGCTGGCCATATTTTCAATCAAATTCTCTTTTTTGCTTAAAGAAGAAAACAATGACTAACCGGTGAACAAGTTGGGAAGGATGAAAACACTTGGGAATAGATTTTCAAAGATATGTAGACACCCCAAAAGCAACCCAAAACCAGAGGTGCCCAAATCATGTCAGGATTTTTGGAAGGCTTTGGATTTTTAACCAAAGTCCATTTTGATAAGCATTCTTATTCTACTGGTCCAACATCTTACCTACGCAGTTAGTGAGACATTTTATTAGCTGTTAAAACCTACAAAACAGCATTTGACTTGAAAGGCAAGTTCACACACTTTAAAAAAAGAAATAAAATAACTGAGTCACCATTTATTTTTCCATACAAAACCTGAATATGAATATGCCAAGACAATTTATTATATAATTGCTTAAGTAGAGTCTCTCGATAAATGACTAAATGTTGTATCTAGAATAAAGGTGATTGTTTCAAGATAAGCGTGCTGATACATAAAAGCTATAGATACAATCCTGAAAAATCAATTTTAATAATTTCTCTTCAATTAACTTGAGTTTACTTCCTGTTTCTTTTCATAACGGAAGCCTTACTGGCTGGTTAAGCATGAAAACGGAGGCAGCACAAACACACGAGGTGTGTATAGGAGATACTAATCGTATGATGAAAGAGAGGACGGCAATTTTCTTAACTCTGTATTTAAATGGACAACCTTACATAACTATATGCCTTTAACAACTTTATTATGAAAGTACCTTGGAGGAAGAAAGAATTACTTCCCAACATAGGCTTTAGCCGTAGCGGAATTAACAGTACATGACTTCAGAAATGAACCCAAGATTTAGAAAGAACTCACATTTTTTGTCATACTCATTATTATTATCTGTCATTCTCTATCTTTACAGGAAAATCAGGTCTGGGATCCATAATATTAATTGTTAGTGACAAACAGATGAATGTTTAAGAGCAAATGTAGATTTCATTTTTTGAGGAAGAGGACAGGCATGCATTTATTATTTTAATGGGTTTGATACCGAATGGCATTTGTTATCCAAACACTCCCCCTTTTACCATGATATCCACCACCCCCAGAAAACAAACTGTAATACTTACTAGACTGTACAACAGCTTGAGTCTGTGCAGAAGTGCCTGACGCTATGTTAGTCAATGCCCATGCAGCTTCAAATTGTAATGAAGGACTGTAATGAAATAATTTTACAGTGCGAAGTTGAAACATGATCTGCAGATTACTTTATGGTTCATTTGAGCGTTAATAGCTGTATTCACTCTTGGACACTCTACATTTCTCTTGGACACTCTACATTCAAGCAGTGCCACTGAGCTAAGATTTAAAAAAAAAATAAATCTCCAAGTCTGGACATTTCAGACAAACAGCTGTAAGAAAACAAAGATTTTGCATTCTATATTTTTTGTCAACCACCCATCATTCTGCCTTCATATTAGTAATAAAAATAAATAAAAGCAGTAATACTTGTTGAAGCACATACCAACCAGTGAAGTTAACCACTAAACAACTAATTGCCTCCAGTATGAAAGATTTCTAACACCCCTGGTCATAAAATTTAATTATGCCTCTCTAATGTGTAACAGAGACCTCTCCACATCCAGCTGATCCACACCCCATTCGTGTTCAGTGAAGAAAGTGCAACTGTCTTGCTGCCATTAGTAGTTGTCAATAAATTAACTGTGTCTGACCACAACTAATAAGAACTTGGCCCTTCTAACATTACATCCCAGATCGAGCATAAGTTGGTATACTGGTATAAAGACATTTTCCTGCTCCATCACAGACAGGGGAAAGACCTAGCATCAGTATCAAAAGACAGCATCGTACCTGCATTAAAACCGACATTAAATGCCCGTAAAATGAGTTACTAATATTAAGAAAGCTGGGGAACCTCTCCTCTAAGACATCTGCCAACTGTTGTCTGTGCCAACACAGCAGTTCAGTAAAGCAGCTTGCATGAAAACTGTTCTTCAAGCAAATTCTAAAGGTCAAGAGTTGTAAAAAGCTATAAAAGTTCACAGCTTGTAGTGGTTAGCGTAACAGCGTGTCTGGCTCCGGGAGCAGCAGAGAATATTTACTGTTAGGTGACTGGTTTTCATTTCCATGCTTTTTTGGGTCTTTATCAATTTATACATACCCATAGCACCTGCTTCCTGTAAGCTTTTGGTTTTGTGCATTAGTTTCCAAAGCATTTTAAGGTTTTAACTGGGGATGGGACTGCAAAAGAATTAGATGGGAAGGCCCAAGATGTGTAAATAAGGATTTGTAAATCAAATAGTACCTGTCAGCAGCTATCTACAGACCTTTACATTCTAGGATTAAATGCATTAAAATTCTAGTTTTAGGTTGGTTCTTCTTTCCTTCTTCTTGTGATAAGCTTCCAGTTGTAACATGAACAACAGATTTAACAACCTGTTATACAAAGCCTTTGCAGAATTTACCTCTACTACTCATTATATATCAACTGAAATTAAAAGGACTGCTTAATCATATGCTGGAGTTCAATTTCAAAAGGCTTATTAAACATTTACGAAGGTAAATAATACAAAAACTAGACAGAAAATTCAAATTAAAACCATTTTCATGGCACTGAACTGTGAAGAAACACATCTACATCTAGGGAACACAGGCATTCATGACCCATTTGAAAATGCTCTCCTGATCTGAACGTTACTGCCAGCTGCCTTCTCAGCAACTGTTTTGTTAAACAAGCTAGAAGCAGTGCTACTCACGCTTCATGTTTTTGCAACCAAAGTTTCTAGCCCTCGTGGCTGCAGAAATAACCTCGGAATTGGAAATACTGTAAGTACATGAAGATGCTCGGACGGCTGGAGCACCTCTGCTATGGGGACAGGCTGAGAGAGTTGGGTTTGTTCAGCCTGGAGAAGAGAAGGCTCCGGGGAGACCTTACAGCACCTTCCAGTACCTGAAGGGGCTACAAGGAGGCTCGGAGGAGTCTTTTTACACGGGCCTGTAGTGACAGGACAAGGTGTAACGGGTTTAAATTGAAAGTGGGGAGGGTTAGATTAGATATCAGGAAGAAGTTCTTCCCGGAGAGGGTGGTGAGGCACTGGAACAGGTTGCCCAGAGAAGCTGTGGATGCCCCATCCCTGGGAGTGTTCCAGGCCAGGCTGGATGAGGCTTTGAGCAACCTGGTCTAGTGGAAGGTGTCCCTGCCCATGGCAGGGGGGTTGGAACTAGATGGTCTTTAAGGTCCCTTCCAACCCAAACCATTCTGTGATTCTGTGATACATTTGTGGCTGCCTGAGACCATAGCTAGGCCAAAACATTTACCTCAAATGTGTTAATCCCCACGTATCTGAATAATGAATGGGCTCACGGATTGTGGAACACAACATTTTTTCATACATGTCATTAAATTACTGCAACTACATGCCCAGTGTTCACTACCTCCCTTTTACTGAAGCACTTGTTTTCCAAGAAACATAACATAGTATGCTCACTGTGTTGTACCATCACACGACAGAGCAGTACAAAGCCAGAAAGAAAACCACCTTGCAGTGAGAATGAAAGAAGCCAGAAACTTAAGCTAATAACCTTAAGGAAAGATGACAAATGTATTCTGGCAAAGAGAAGACCCTCTTCACCACCAGGCATGTTCTCTGCCTTCGCACAAATACACACAGTAAGTCTGAGACAGGCTTCTTAAAAAACAGTTAACAAAAGTCTGGAATATTCAAAACCAATGAGAAATTTAGTGAGGTTTTCTCCATTAGCTGGAAATGTTCATGCAAGCTCTAAAAACTAAAATGACGTTTCAGTGGCAGAAAAAATACTCCTGGAGAATTTATGGTTTGTCATCATGGAATGTGATCTGTTCTGTCAGATCATATGGTGCTACAAAGCCTCAGTTTCATCTGAAATAATGAGATGGTTTCCTGGATGCAGATTTTCAGTCTAGGTAAACATATTTAAAAGTATACTTACTTATCATCCCTTTCTAGGCATTTTACCAGAATTGGTAAAATTCCTGATTTTATTAAGTCATCAATAGGTGGATTTCTGTCACTGGATAGGAGTTTTCTGTGAAATTAAATGTGAAAGTAAAATAAGTAACTTTCATCATGAAAAATGCGAAGGTAATGTATTTCTTGAGCCTTTATTTTTACCTTGCAGCTTGGACAGCACTCAGTTGGATTACTGGGTTGTCGCTTGTGGCGTTCTGAAAAAAACCAAAACCAAAACCCAGTAACAACTAAAACACACACTTCTAATAACAAAAAACCCAATAAAAACATTAAGTGTAACATACCTGCAGTATAGCTTCTAGTGTTACATTTTGCTTGAAAAGAAAAAGAAAATATTTTAGTAAGTTTCTTGCTAAATTGTATTCTTTGTAAACATTTAATACAATCAAACTAATTTTAACAGTGTAACAGTTCATGATTTTGCTTTCAAGTAACTGCAAGACTTTCAGTGTTAAAATAAAACCAGAATACATTGTTTTGAGACACCACCAAAGTTGTAAAATTAGTTCCAGCATCAAGGAACTTACTGCTTTGAAGTCAGCATCAACATCAGAATCTTCTAGACTTTCTTCTTGGGGAACATTTCTTTTTTTCAAAAGATGTTCATCTCTTTTGTTCTGTAAAGCATTGATAAAAAATAAAGACACTTAATGCTTCTCAGTACAGGGTGCCGATATAATGGCCATTTTCCCAATGCAAGTTCGGGTAAGACTGAGGGTGTGTGTGTGTGTGTTAAAGGCATTTGTAACTGCAAATAGAATTTGCAGTATTGCAGCTGTAACCATGTCAATCCATGACCTTGGAATGAATTAAAACTTACAGTTCGGGGACCAATTTCCTAACACACGTTTACAACACACATAGATCTGCATGACATTATCATTTAGCCACATGTAACAACTTTATTTTCCAGTATAAGATTAGATTTCAGCTAAACCTACTTCAAAGTTGCCCGGTTACACGCATTTTCATCTTGAGTGTAAAGCAGCATGCTCCACGTTCACTGAGACTTGTAATATTTCCCCCTGACACTGTTAGCCTAATTTCTGACTTAAAACAAAGCACCCTCCAGCCTTAGCTCCTTTAAGGAATTACTGAAGAAAAAAGTTACCTTTTTGATGGTAAACATTTCTACCTTGCTTAATTAGAATATCTGAACACCTGAAGAAGTTCTTCACTGAAAGGGTTATCACACACTGGAACAGGCTGCCCAGGGAGGTGGTGGAGTCACCATCCCTGGATGTGTTTAAGAGACAGGTGGATGAGGTGCTGAAAGATATGGTTTAGTGGTGGACAGATACGGTTGGACTGGATGATCTCTAAGGTCTTTTCCAACCTAGTGATTCTATGATTCTAAAGAATCAATTGTAACTCTATCCAAATGCACTTTTTAACAAATTTAGAACATCTTAAAAGTATTATTCCAAAAGCAGGAAATGTTTGTCTTTATAAATTTTCGACTTAATCTTTCATTTGGTATGTCTAGAGGTACAATCAAAGACAGAAAAGGCCATGGAAGATAACAATGCAGCACATATATCCAAACATCTTTTTGTAAGTTGGTTTTCGTGGGGTTTTTTTTGTTTGTTTGTTTGTTTTTTTAAATAAGTGCATTAAGATTTCAATCTCCAATGAAACAGAACATCGAAAAGGTGTAACAAACAGCTATAACACCTAAAATAAATCCAGTATACTAGCAAGCAAGCCAGGCTTTTCAGTCTCCAAAAAAGTATGATAAGCAAACAGTACTGACTACAGAGACTGTACTGCATCCTGCTTTGCTTGCAATACATACAAAAGCCTCTAAACTGAATCCTGCTTTGAAGGAGTCCCCAGTATTTTATTTTGTTGTTATGTTAGAAAAAACAGCAACCTCAGGTCCAAAATTCCTGTGACTTGCTTACCTTTCAGACGTTTAAAAAAGAATTTAAAACAACCTTTCCAGCCTCAGTTTGAAAGGCTCACAAGCAGCGTATAATTTTTTTTTTCAGATAAGAGAATACGAAACCGCTAAGCAAGGACCAGAATTAAACAGACCTTTAATGCAGAAGACAACATTCCACAAACTTAGCACAGTTTAATTTTTGTCAAGTCTAAGGACAGAAATAAATCCCCTAAGAGCACACAAGGTCACCCAGACCAGCCACGGCAGCTGTGCAGTAACGGCAGCGTACACGGAGCACAGCCATACAGACAAGCACTAAAGGTATTTCATTGTCAAGTGGTTTTGGAGAAAAGGAAGTTGGAAACGAGCAGGCAGTTAAATGCTGAGAAAACAGCGTTACGCAGACAAGCTGCGCCGGCTAGGTACACACTGACGGATACAGTCAGTCACCATAAAGACCTCCAATATATTTCCCTCATTTCTCCACGCTAGGTACACGGCACTGCCATTTTAAGCAAACATCATTCAACCTGGCTTTGCTCATGTACAACTCCTTTTCCTACTGATTGCCTAAACTAAAGCCTATACTTTCACAACTGCAGTGACCGGATCCAATTTCCAGAGACCCTCCCGGCACACAGGTCAGCTTTCTTCAGTGTGTGGCTACTACACACATCTCCCCATGGAAGAAGGGCCTCCTTCCTGCCTGGGATAAAAGGCTGCTACAGGATCACCTGTGCTGTTATGGTAAGACCAGCCAATCCTGAGAGAAGGGGTTGAAGATGGAGGAATGTCCTGATGGTTTCAGCCCACCACCCAGCAGAATGGTTTAGGTTGGCAGGGACCTTAAAGCCCATCTAGTTCCACCCCCCCTGCCATGGGCAGGGACACCTTCCACTAGACCAGGTTGCTCAAAGCCTCATCCAGCCTGGCCTGGAACACTTCCAGGGATGGGGCATCCACAGCTTCTCTGGGCAACCTGTTCCAGTGCCTCACCACCCTCTCCGGGAAGAATTTCTTCCTGATGTCCAATCTAAACCTCCCTGCTTTCAATTTAAACCCGTTACCCCTTGTCCTGTCACTACAGGCCCTTGTAAAAAGTCCCCCCCAGCTTCCTTGTAGCCCCTTCAGGCACTGGAAGGTGCTATAAGGTCTCCCCGGAGCCTTCTCTTCTCCAGGCGGACCAAGCCCAACTCTCTCAGCCTGTCCCCATAGCAGAGGTGCTCCAGCCCTCTGAGCATCTTTGTGGCCTCCTCTGGACTCGCTCCAACCCATCTATATCCTTCTGATGTGGAGGGCTCCACAGCTGGATGCAGCACTCCAGGTGGGGTCTCACGAGAGCAGAGTAGAGGGGGAGAATCGCCTCCCTCGACCTGCTGGCCACACTTCTGATGCGGAGAATCTCCTGATGTGGAGAAGGATGTCATGCGGGACAGTG